CCACCAGCTAGGACAGGGAGGGACATGCCCCGGAGCTGCTTAACACAGTAGAGCACCAGACCACAGCCCTCAGCCAGCAGCTAAAGGCTGGGGTGCAGGGACCACTCAGGTGCAGGGACAGCTCAGGGGCAGGGACCCCAGGAGCATGGCGAAGCCTGGCCTTCCTGTCCACACTGGCCACCTGGTGCAGAGGTGCCAGGCCTGATGGGTGGGGGTGCTGGGCTTGAACAGGCACCTCCTTTCAAGTCCAGCCAGGTATGCTGAGCCCCATTTCCCAGCTGTAATGAGGCCACCGTTACTGGCCTGATGAGGTAACCGGCAAGCTGGGCACGCACCAGGCACAACTACGCACACACCAGGCACACAGGGCACATACCAGAACCATACGGGGCACACACCAGGGACACGGGGCACACACAGGGCACACACCAGGACCATACGGGGCACACACCAGGGACACGGGGCACACACCAGGACCATATGGGGCACACACAGGGCACACACCAGGCACATACGGGGCACACAGCAGGCACACAGGGCACACACCAGAACCATATGGGGCACACACAGCAGGACCATATGGGGCACACACTAGGAACACACCAGGAACATATGGGGCACACACCGGGCACGCAGCAGGACCATACGGGGCACGTGCCAGGCACACTGGACACACTAGGCACTACAAGGTGAGGCTACCACCCTCCTCAGCTCCCAGCAAGTGACAGTGACATCAGGACAGGTGACAGTGACATCAGGGCAGCCGGCTCATGCTGCCTGCCTTGAACAGTGCAGTTCATGGGCCTCAGTCCCACACCTGTGGTAGCTCCCCAGGGCAGGCCCTGTGAGGCAGGCATGGAAGGGGCCATCAGGCCCGGGTCCCCGGCCCGTGCCTAGGATGTTCTGCCTGCCCTTGGGCCACTGGCCTTCCTCCCGGTGTAGACCAGGGCCGGGTTTCATCTGTCCTTGCAGGGCAGGCTCAGGATGAACGGCTGTGGGCCCAGGCCTGGCCACCGTGGGCACTCAGGACACACACTGAAGGCACACGGCCGGCCCGTCTGCTGCCCCGGGCCACTGGGCCCCGTACTGACAATGCTCACGGCCCGGAGCCACACTCCCCAGCCCACGGCGCAGCAGCCCACGCCAGCACTCTGCTCTAACTGCTGCCGCGCTGCCGCTGGCCTTCCTCCCTCCTCCCGTCCATTTCCTTTTGCATTTTGGATACTTTCTGTGGGCCTTTAAATTGAATTCACAGAGCAAATTTCACTGGCAAAATGTCTCCGGGGACATATCAACATCAATCTGCTGTCTTTCACCATTAGATGCAACTTACACGGATGCCAATCCAATTCTGAGCAGGTCATAAATAAATACCTTTGGTTTTATTTTTAATCCACTTCGCTTCATATTATCCTGACCTCGCCACTTGCAAGGTGAGAAGCAATACCCTCCCATTATGGTAGCTCGCGACTCCGCTGCACACTCAATTCCAGAATCTAATTTAGTCCCCCAGGTTCAGTGGATGGAGGGAGAATAGAAATGCCCAGCTCTTCACAGCCTGCAAGCTAAAGAAGGGAAAATCTATCTGGGTGACCTTTACGGGAGGCAAAGAACACAGCCAAACACGTCCTTAAATACAGATTTCTTTTTTAAAGAGGTTTGTCTTATTTATGCAGCAGGCAGAGGTGTCTCCTGTCGGGGAACACGGAGCTATTAGCCACGAGCTGCTCTTCACTACCCACGCCGCACAGGTGAGGCCATAGCTCGGCTCAGTCACATTGAGGGATGGCGGCCCCACGTGTGCAGGGCAGGGCTGAGACGAGGCCTCCCGAGAGCCCAGGCCACAGCACCTCACAGACGGGGACTGCGCCCCAGCCCTCCACAGACAGCGGCGGCATCACTCAACAACCCTTGCTCCTCCCCACAGCTGAGAGCACAGGGGTCTGCTTAGAAGCTACTCGAGTCAGAAGTTTACAAATTGCCAACACGCCAAGATGAATAAATTAACCGTGATGAGCTAAAAGGGCCCACTTGCCTACTCTCATTACCTTCTCCCCGTAACCGAGAAAGATGAGATGGGAGCCACCGCACCGACGCCCAGGGTCAGGGCTAACTGGCTCCACTGGCTTTCCGCCGCATTCTGACGTCTGCGCTGGGCAGCCTGGCTCAGCCCGGCTCCTCCTGCTGCTGCGACTGCAGAGGGACTCTGGTGCCACCCAGGAGTGCTGGGACCCTCAGGTGGGGAGGGAGGGGAGGCAGCAGATGGGTTTCCTAGTGGCTATCCTCAGGGCACGTCTCCCAGCTGGTCTTTGAGATGAGGGAACTGAGGCACGGGGGGGCAGTGGGCTCAGTGTCCCCGCAGCAGACAGGCTGGCACCAGCCGCACACTCTCCCTGGAGGTGAGTCCCGCGTGTGGGGCCACCTCTCGGTGGGAGGGCGATGACTCAAATCATAGGCTCCACTGCCGCCTCACAGTGCCCTTCTGCCTCACCCTGGCCGACATGCCGGGTGACAGCAGGAGCCCCCGGGCAGTGACAAGGGCTGTCAGTACATCCCGTGTCCTCATCACCCCTCTGGCTGCCACAACCCTCACAAGGCACGTGACGGGTGGCCACGTGACACAGCACAGGAAGGAGCATGGTGGACCGAGCTGGGGCCACGGAAGAGGAGGCCGGGTCTGTGACACCCCTGCCACTCTGAGGGGCTGATCTCCTCCCACCCTCCACGCCGTCATTCTTATTTCCGGGCCAAGAAGTGTCCACAGACCACACGCTGCAGAGGCCGACGGTCACTGCTCCTACCCAAGCCCCCAGGGCCTTCCGACAGGCAATGGAGGAGTGGGTCATTTGTATTCCTCCCGAGCAGGACCTGCTGGGGTCTGAATCCATATTCAACAGAAGACGCCAGCTCTTGTTCAGTACATGTGTAAGATGGAAGAAAGACCGAGAGAGGGCTGGAATCATAGGGCTACTGGAGGAGGTCCCAACATGCTCGGATGCAAGAAGGTCCCAGCCAGTGCCAGGCCCACGGGGCTGCCAACGGAAGGGCAGTGCATTCGGGGCAGGAGGCCCGTGGTGCCCGCCCATGGCCGTCCCTCCCTGCTCCGTGCAGCGGGAACTCCTCACTCCAGGCTGAGGCTCGACATCAGGGTGGACGGGCAGTCGCCCTCTGCAGCAAGGGTCGCTGACTCGGGGGCGAGGACCGCGGTGACCCCGACACATGCATGCATGCTGCCTGTGCCCCACCCGGGCGTAAACCCCACATGAAGAACCACTACCTGCCTGGCCTCGGCCAGGCCCTGGCCTGAGCTGGACAGACCAGAGCTCACGGTAGCTCTGACTGGTCTTCCTCCAAGCACAGCACCCCAAGAGGTCCCTGGCTCACAATGAGCCCTCGGACCACCATCCCAGCTGACAAGGGGCTGCCCTGGACATCTGCATGCAGTAGGTGCCCAAATCAATCCTTAACGAGACCCTCTTGAAATACTGGTCGGATAGAAATCAAGACGCCCAAGGGCCCTGGGTCTGCGGGACAGGGGCAGCGAGCAGCTTTTCTGGTTACGAGTGAGAGCAACCCCATGAGGACCCTACTCCGCTGCACACCCTCAGGGGCACTGAGTGCCATGTGTGTGGCCGCTGCCCAGGGTGGCGAGGGCCAGCACTCTGCCTCACTCTAGTGCAGCCTGTGGCGGCCTCCGCCTTGTCTGCAGTGGGTGGACCCCAGCACATGGGGTAAGAGAGCAGCAAGGCCTGCTCCCCAGTGTGCTGAGGGCTGGAGTTGAGGGGAGGTGAGACATCTCGGGGAATCCTGCTCAGGGAGGAAGACCACTTCCTGGAGTTGACCATGTGCCATACTGACCTGGCTATGAGTAGGTGCTC